TCATCAACATATTGTTGGGGTGCTTTTGTCTTTGGGAGTTTTGAATCAGATTTAAAATAATTAATTATATCATTACTTCCAATGACAACAACAAATAGAGATTTTGATAATTGCTTCATTCCAGCATCAGCTCCTAATTGCTTCACTAATCTTTGTTGCACCACTGAGAAAAACTGTACTTGTTGAGACATATGAAGCGCAAAACTCTGCAAATAAACAAAATAAATTGTTGTTAATTAGTACATGAATGGCATTATCAGTTCGACAAAATTCAGTAATTTTAGTTCAAATTTTATATATTGTATTGAAAAGCTCATTGAACTAATAACGTTCTGAACTCATTATTATAAACTTCTAATCTAAATTCAATCAGCTGTAAATTTTGAATTCGAGTTTGAAGATTTTCTTGTTATTTATTACATCCTATAAAAAAATCCATATATTAGAATTACACTAATAAGTGTTTATATGTTAGAATAATTAAATAAATTAAATAACAGAAAATATATAAGCAACTAGCGGGGATAGCTCAGTTGGGAGAGCGTCAGACTGAAGATCTGAAGGTCACGTGTTCGATCCACGTTCACCGCATAAATTTTTTGTTTTATTTTCTATTTTTAATTTAAGCTAATTTTTCAATTCAACGTGTCCCTGAAAATTAATTTTTTGTTTCATGTACTATCTGAAATGTAAAATAAAGGCGAGAGACATTAAGGAATCAATAAAAGTTGTGGTGAGATAAAGGACGGGTCACAGACGGATTTCTCGGTTATCAAAAAAAGTTATAGTGAGATAAATAAAATTTCTTAATTTTTATTTTGAAATCACAAAGATCACGATAAAGAATATTTTTTCCATTAACAAACCTTACGCGATATGAATACTGACTAGATAAAATCCCCCAAAAAAATACAAAAACTAAGATGGATATATATGTCTTACAATTAATGCACCATTGGTGGTCCTGAAGATTCCAGCTCCACCAGAAGCAAAGCTTACACCTTTTAGAAACTGATTGTTCTTGTCAGACAAGTATGGGGGAGGTGTTGGTATTCCTAATTTCTCAGCTGCAAAACAATTAAAATGCAAAAAAAATTAATTAGTTACTTTACAAAAAATATTAAATAAATAAATAATAAAGTTTGCATCCATAATTCCAAAAGCTATAACAACAAAATAGTGGATGTAGCAGCGACAACAACAACAAATTTACTATAATCTCATAAGCGGGGTTTATCGAGGAAATTGTATATGTAGTCTTATAGTTTAATCTTGTGAAGATAAAGATATTGTTTCTGATAGACTTTCGACTCAAGTAAAATATATATCAAACTCAAGTATAAAAAGAAAATACAGTAATGAAGAAATTAAATCATGCTAGAAATAAAGGAGAAGAACAACAACAAGACAACAAATAAAACACAACTAAAGTAAAGGAAACAATAGATAATTATATCGTAAAATAATGAGGAGATAATATTATAACAAATAAAGAGAGAAAAAAAAAGAGTTAAAAGTTTGCTCCATCACTCAAAATAGAATTAATACTCCACTTCCAAAAAAGAATAATCCATGTGTCGTGTTTTATTTTAATGATACTATATATTATTTAATTAAAGAATTACTACTATAAGTAACCTTAAAAAATATAATTTGTTTGATCTTAATCATGTCATGCTATTACTAATTATGATTATAAAAACATGTTGTTAAAGGTAATTCAACATTAAGAACTTTTAAATATAAATATATATTATATTTGGACAAACATTTATACCATAAAAGGAATATATACACGTTAAAATGAATGGACCTTTAAATATGTTCTCTTCTCATCGCTCATTGCCAAAAAAAAAAAACATTTCCCATCTCCCTCTCTCTCCTTTTTTTCTCTATTCCTTCTTTTAATTTTTTGTTTTTACGGGTGGAATCTGAATTTTTATTAAACAATTAAAAGTATAAAGAAGTGAATACATGAAGTAATCAACAAGGGTTCAACGGCAATATATATATATATATAAAAAAAAAAATTGCTAAATTTGAACCCTCCTCGATCCTATCTGACTCCGCCAATTTTATTCATCCAAGAGTTGGTTTTTCATGCACAATATATACAGTACGTACCCCCACTAAGAGCTAGTGATATATAGTGCCATTTTACAACCAAAGATGATTTCGGCATTGCGGTACCAAAAAAAAGTATGAAATGCCATTTTTGAAATTTATTTTCGCTGCTTTCATCGAAGAAATCATTTTACTTATTATTTAAAAAAAAATATATATATATAACATTTTGAACAACGAGAATAATGGAGATGGAAATAGTCTAAATAACGACCAAATTAAGTTCGTTACTTTAATATAGCCATTTTATGGATAAAATTCAGTGAGCATACGTGAAAATAAGACAATTGAGGGAACACTTACCGATAAAATCAGCAGTATTTTTGCCATTGCAAAATCTTCCAGTAGGTTGTCCACCAGGAAAATCACGACCATTATAAGGAAAATTAGCTTTAATAATGGTAGCTATATGATTATTATTACCAACATCAATTAAAGAATCACCAAACATATAAGCTGCTGGTACTAATTGTCCTTGACATATTTTAAAACAACATATGAGCAAAAAAAAGAAACTCAAAAAAGAAGAAATAGCCATTGATTATTAAATTTTCCAAAAAAAATATAAATGGCTATTTCTTCCACTACACTGAAAAAAATTAGATAAAAATGGGAGCTATTTATAAAGATTGAATTTTAGTATTGGTGTTAGTGGTGTCTATTATAGCTAGGAGAATTAGACGCAAAACCAATCTACACGTTATTGTGTGAACGAGTTGAATTTTTATTTTTTTTTGAGTGATAAGAAATTATATGCTTTTTTTTTCATGGCCACATATCTTTAATATATTGCCCTTCTAAGACGGAGCCGCTTTATATGAAAATATAACTTGCATATATACACTCGTATTTATATCAAGTCAATATGTTTTATTATAATTAAGCAATAAACAATTAGGATACAGAGGTAGTAAATAGTGATTGATGTCATATTTTATGTGCGAGAGATCATATGATATATTAAAGATTAAAAGATTGAAAAATATTTTCACATATTCTAATTTCTATGTATATTTGATTTGATATTACAAAGTTAAAATATTTTTCTTTATTTTCTTAAATTTCATATAGAATAAATTTCGTATCAATGTGTTACTATTATATTATTTGTTACTAGTGGAGTCAATTCAAGTGTAAGAAGATCCATTATTACTTCTAGTCAATTTGTAAACAAGTTCTACACCAAGTAAGACTATTGTTTTGAAAAATATTTTAAAATTTAGAAAATGCAAAAAAAAAAAGGAGTAAATAATCGTTTACGATTTGAATAAAAGAAAATGATATTATTTGGGAAAAAAAACTTATATTTCAAATGGGTGATTGTCAGATGAAACTTGAAGTGATGGGTTCATAGCTTTTACATATTGCGTGAGATAAATGATAATAATTCAAAATAATATTTGAACTTAAATTTATTTCATATTTGATTTAAAAGTATTAGTTAATTTTAGATTATTTTATTCTATTATTGTACTAAAATAATGAAATAACTATCACATATAGAAAATAAAATAAAATAATCTCATAAAATATTTTTATTTATCCCATCCAACGTATTGAGCACATAAATAATCTTTTCATTGAATTTTGTAAAGTTGATGATTCGTGAATCACATTCACACGTTTTTGGATCCAAATCAAAAGCTCCTTTAATTTAGTGGATAATAATGGAGAAAAAAAACAATTTAAGTAGCGTGAATTTAGATTAATTAGACAATAAATTTTGAATACGAAATGATTGCTATATAAAATAAAAATAAAAAGTTAAAAATAAACACACCGACATGTTCTTCAAAGATCAAAGTAGAATACTACTTTGCCCTTTTTGTGGATCTATAACATTTATACCAACCTTTAATTATTATTTTATTAATTATAAAAAGTTAAGAACTCAAGGAACCCGTCCCACACGTATCCCACTTCATTATTGTCTTGTAGTCTAAAATATATGCTTTTTTTTTGGTATTTTTCCATAATATCATGTGCATTATTATTTTTTTTAAAAAATCTTTAAATTTCTGCAAACTTAATGGATATAAAAGACTTTATTTTTCTTAATGTTTCTCAAAAAAAATAAAAAAAAATAAAAAAATTACTAAATTTTGTCGTTAAACTCGTACTTCACATGCTAGCTCCCCCCCATAATAACAGAATGTCAAAATATATTAATTCTTTCTTCTCTTAAACAGAGGAAGCCAAAAAGGGGACCAAAAAAATTTGGAACAATGGAATGTAAGTAGTGGTCCATCATATAGCTGTATTCTATAGTTGAAGTTGAAATAATCTTATTTTCTACTCTATGTCGGGAGCATTTCGATATGATTCCTTCATTACTGTATTTATTTTACCTATTTAATTTTAATATATTTTTTTACTTGAATTGAAGGTCTATTAGAAATAATATATCTTGTTCTTAAGATAACAGTAAGACTGTATACAAGTCTCCTGTTTCCCTAAATCAACCCAACTTATAAAATCATACTAAATATATTATCATTGTCGTCAGGTCAATGGAACCGTAGATATGGTGGTGCCTCACTTCCTCTTTTCATATTTGTTATTTCACATTTCAATTTCATCAAAATGGGCTTATTATATTCCCACTGTACATAATGGGAAAAAATAGAAATATCTAATATTTGGGAAATTTGGAGTCTTCTAATTTTTATATAGTAATCCAAAAAATCAATCAATTTCCAGATCACTTTGTTGAAATTCATGCTATTTTTAGATGGGTTTTCAACAATCAGTTAGTTGAGACCCTACTATCGCACCATCGCATCGACGCGTTGATGCGATATGTTTACCCCTAAATTCGTAATTTAAATTAATAATTGACTTGGTCTTCCCCCACCCCCTACAAATGGGAGGAAGTCGACTGTACATCTCAACGATTAGGAGGAACTTTGCCTGCATCCGATCTCCCATTTCTAGCTCATCTGAGATGATCATGTTAGGTGAATTGTGACCTCGTACAATCGTGTCACCTCAATATGATCTTCAAAAGAAGTTTTATACCATATTTTACACCTTGTTGCTAACTTCCAAATGCTGCCACAGACACTTCTTAAAGCTATCTTCTGTGTTTCCATTATGAGGTAGAATTTGCAAGCTGGAGCAAAGAACCAACACTTCGTATGGATCCAAATGCTTAAGAACCTCCGGAGCTCTATCATAATCCTACCAAATCAAGAGTAGTGATTATGAGAAATTTACAATAATTTGTTAGCTACTTAGTACGTGAACCGTACTATACATATATGAGAGTTTAATTTACAACAATAATAATAACATAACATGTCGAATCCCACAAGTGGAGTTTAGGGAAGGTAGAATGTACGCAAAGCTTACCCCTACCTCGTAGATCTCTGAGGTTGTTTGACCTAGCTCAAGTCTTAAAATTAAAATTGACTACCAACTCCAACGATTGTTTCTCAATAGGAAGAGGAAGGTCGCGATGGACAAATTTAATGGCCTATGTTTTTTCGGAGGATATAAATTAAGAAAGCCATCAAGTTGAGAGATAGTTAATAGCATCTTTCCACCAAGATAAAGAGAAATTACAGGACTAGAATGCATCGAATAAGGTTAGCAAAACCTAGAAAAGAAGGCGATGAATGGTTATTGAAGGACAAGGAAGAGTGAGGGGTTTTCGTGCCTTGCATTTTAGGGCTACCTCGGTCTGATGAGCCTATTAATAACAACAGTGACATCTACCACATGAGCAATTCTCAGAAGGATTGGGCCATTTCTTTGCACAGATTGCTACAAGCTATAGATGTAAGTAACAGAGAGTGAGGTAAATGTAGTTGTCTTAGTATCAGAATATAATTTTCTTATCCTGTAAAAATTGAAGTAAAATATGTTGGCTATATTAACTCTTCCAGCTTGTTTATGTCAGCGCATATAAACTCGACAAGCGTTATCTCTTTACAGACAAAAACGAAAAAAGAATCACCTTTTCTGAGTTTTGATTATTTATTAATCTCCTTCTAAGAAACAAATAAACAGAAAAAGATGATACTTTTTTGCAAGAGCTACTCACCTTTTCTGTTACTACAACAACAGGCTTCATAGCAAACTCTGATTGAAGATTCCGAAGTCTCAATCTGATCATGTCAATATCCTAACATATTATATGGACCAAAGTGAAAACTTAAGTTCTTAAAAAAGAAAAAAGATAAAGAGAACGAAAATGTCCAGCACCAACACCAATTCAAAGAATACAGGTGGATGACAGATCTATGGGTGTCATATGATCGAACAGGCGAGTAAAAGATAAGACAAACAAGAATATATGATGCCATCTACCTTAGCTTGAAATAAATGATGGTCACTGAAGTCCAGGCGATCAACATACGCAGGTTCCAGCTGCGGAGTGTAAACAACTTTTTAAACGAAAGAGAGAATAAAAACTTGTGGTAATAAAACCAATGAAAGAAGCTGAATAAAAACTCAACCACCTCCAAACTTCTACGCAAAGGTAGAAAATAGAAGGTTGTATGAGTATCAAACAAGAGAACTCAACAACTGTACCTTCTTCATCCTCTCAACAAAAGAATCAGCAGATCCAATTGCTGAGACACATAAGACAAGTGTATTGTGGATGTCCATTAAAGCCAATTTACAAGACATGTTGCCAGCTTTAAGAAAGTATAAAGGCATCAGTCTGCTCAAAAATATAGGAAGATAATTTTTTACTTTTCGAACTTCTGATGCTATGGCCTCCACATCCTTTTTTGAGACCTGCATAACTCAAACAAATTAAATGGATATCAGAGGTCCTATTTGATTTTCTAATTTTTACTAATCAAATGTTATGTTTCACAAGTATCAATAAGTTGTCTCAGATATACAGAAGAAAAAGGGTGTTAATACCATGTCTGCATGATGGATTACAACTATATCTGCACGTGTGAGTGCGGTCAAAGGTTCCCTTAATGGTCCAAGTGGAATTAACTGATGGTTCCCCCATGGAATCATTGCATTCACCATCACAATCTCAATGTCACGCCACAAACTGATATGCTGCTTTCGGATTTCCACAGTTGACAAAACGTGAGTAAAGGTTCTAGGCTATTAAGTATCATAAAGGAGCAGACAATCAAACTCCTAACTGTGAAACCCTAATAAGAAGCTAGGCCACTTTTAGGTCCAGAATAAAGTCTTGAGGATTGAACTACGAAGAATATCCAATTTTGAATTTCTTGGAAGATCAAATAATTACAATCCAAAAGGAAAAGAAAAGGAGGAGGCTGTGATAAAGCACAGCAATAGGAATAGGGGAGGTGTTACATACTCCTATTCCAAAAAATGATGGGACACAATCTCAACCCAAGAAGAATGAATTAGTTTTCTGAATATAAACAACAAAATTCCTGTTTCATCAGTAGGTGATTAAAACTTAACATGCAGTTTTGGTGCAGACCTGCATTCCATCGTCTAGGATTGCAACCCCGATTTGGTCCGAATAAGAACAATTTCCTTGTTTGTTATCAGAGAAATGTTTCTCAAAATCACTGTCACCGTGCTTACAAGGGGTGATGTGGCCATATCTTTTCAGAAAACAGGCAGCTGTATTGGCCCTGTTTGCACCTATGCCTATCTTCACAGGTGTTCCAGCCAGATGCCTTTGGAGCATTTTTGCTTCATCTGCACCACCATAACCCTACAGAAGGAAAACATTTTCCATAACACTAGCCTTGTGTTCATAAACAGTTGAATTGGAATCGAAAATGGTCCAAAGTACATCAGAAAGGAGAAAAAAGCAACATCAGAAAAACAACTGAATATCACAAACAAACACCAAAACAAACCAAATAAGAGGCTCAAAATATTTCTTCCAATCTTGGAAGATTTATGTAACTAATGTTGGACCACAATACAACATCACAAGGTCATATACGAGACTAATACAAAGAGATAATAACGTCTTAACTATTTCACTACCACTTTGATATTTCTTCTACTGCCACTAATATAATACAAGTCAAGTTAACATTTCTTTTATAACTATGGTGTCCGGGCCTTGACTTACTCCATAGGTAGCTTCTACCTCCCATCAGCACATCTACAGGTAAACTATGTTCCTAAGGCTTAGACGGATGAGAAGAAATCACCTACTATTATTACCTCCCGAGACCTCATGGTTCTCATCCCACTTAATTAACTACAAGATCATACCCTTGGGTGCTTAACATCTCCAATTCCATATTCAATCAAGCACCATCAAACATAATGAAACCGATGGGAAAAAAAACAGAGTACCCTTGTTAGTATAAGAGGTGAACTTCCAAGAGCAGCCAACCAAACTGCAAGAAACTCAACCATTGGTGTCTTCCCATTACCTCCCCAAGTTAAATTCCCAACGCTAATCACTGGCACCGGCAACCTTACAGTTCAAAGAGATTACATAGATATGGTAAGCAAACAAAATCCCACATAGAACAAATCAACAAAATCATAATTTAAAAAAAAAACAAATACAGCTATCAAAGCAATAAAAAACAAATACCCACTTAGAAAAAAATCATAATAAACCCAAATACAGCTAGAAATTAGAGTTGTCGTTTACCTATCTTTATGAAGCAGACCAAGATGGTAAAGGCGATGGCGGAGAGGAAGAGCGAAGCCATAGAGAGTGGAAGCTAGTGAGAGAAGAGGGATGAGAGAGAATTGGAGTGTGGAAAGTGTACGGAGCCTGTCTTGCGGTGGTGTATAGGCTATTTGGTTCACCATTTTCCTCAATTTCTCCATTGATAGACACAGTAGAGAAGTAAAAACTGTATACTGTAGTAATCAATTTGATAATACGAAGAAGAAAAAAAAAAAAAGGAGAAGGAAAGGATTACAATTTGGGCCAACATAGCCATGTGTACATGAAGCCCAACCCATTTATCGGCCCATCAAAATGTTTTCGTTGTTGGTGTTCTTTTCGATCTCTACGCATTTCACCACTTCACTAAGAAGTTCCCTCTAGCCCTATGGTAGTTTCCGACACATGTCTAAGGTTGAGCCTTGAAATTCAACGCTAGTTACTAGATCAACTTGCTATAATAATTCTACTAACATCTATGACAAAACAAGGAAATTTGTATAATATTATTCGTGTTGTAAGTTATTTAATTCGTTTTAATTCTGTTAATTGTATTAGTATTATTTTTTAGAATGGGGTATTTAAAAGATTATTCTATACAACTTCTAAGAATTCAAATGCATTGAATGTCGTTTAAAAATTTAACTTTGACGTGGTTATATTCTCTATATAATATTCTTAATTTCGCACTATGATATATATATATTAAAAAAATATAGACACATTATGTTAAATCTACATTTTTAAATTTCGCAAGTCAAAAGTTTGTCATATAATATAAAAATAAAATGGAAGAAGTAATAATTAATAGATAAATAGAGCTGGATTTCTTACCTTTTTTTATACGAGTATAAGATAATATCACAAAAAATATATTCAATTTGTCCTAATTTGTATAACTTATTTTTTGGAAGTTGTATAAATTTTAAATAGTATTTTAATATATATATATATATTCATCATAACAATACCATTTGAGTTTTTTTTTTAAAATCTCACTATATAAGTTAAGCAAATTATCTTATTACTCTAAGGGCAAACATATTTAAGAGTAATTTTAGTTAGTGCATGTACGTATTTTTTGTAAAAAAAAAACAAAACAAAAAAATAGCCTAATGCACTAACTTCAGTTATAGGCGGGAAATCGGGATTCGAAAAAGAATCATATTATAAAAAAATAATAAATAATTTAATGCATTAATTTCTATTATAAGGTGGGGTTCGAAAAAGGACCATATTTTGTGTATTGTTACATTAATTAATTTGCATTAATGTCCGTGTACGAAAATTCTTTTTTTAGCTCAATCTCACCAAAAAAAAATGAGCCAAAAGCTAACTAAACATCAACACACATATGCAATGATACCTATTATCTCTCTCCACTTTTGATTGCAATTTATAGTATTTTATATAATTTTTAAATATTTAATTTTTTTGTCTAAAATATCAAATTAATATAATTTAATTTAATTTTGAAAAATTAACTTTCGAAAATGCAACATGACAACTAAAAGTGGACGGAATGAATATAAATCAATTGTATTTTTTACTTCACTGCGAACGAAATTTTTACGTTAATAATCGAAAAGGAAAAAGAAGAAGTTATATATCTACTTCTACTACTAATATATAAGGGGTCGTTTGGTTTGAATTTAAGTTATGATGGGATTATTTTTTATTGAGTGTTTGATTTGTTGTATTCAAAATAATACATTTTAAGAACAAATTTTTTGTTTACAAAAATTCCCTTAATGAATGTAAAAAGTGATGTAACGAAATGGTTGAAAGAGACATTTTTGTCATTTACTTATTTTACTCCGGGATAAGTTATCCCAGGATTACTATATCACCCAAGAGGAGGGATAACTTATCCCGATACTAATTATTAATTTGACAACCAAACAACAAATTAAGTGGTACTATAATTTAATCTCAGGACTAGTTGGTATTATCCTTCACACCAAATGACCCTTTAAAGTGTCAATAAGCACATAGCTGAGGGTTAACATGTTTGCTTCAGTTGTGTGCTTATTTCAATATTCAGATGTTTAGCTTACTGGTTTAGGTTTGACATTTAGTAGGCGTTTAGCCATGCGATACCATATCACGATATGGTATCGTGAGATGGAATCAGCGTTTGGACATGCGATTTTACACTGATTCCATCTCATGATTCCATATCATGAGATGTGATTCTATACTCTCCAAAAACCATGATATGGTAATTCCATATCATGATTTGAGATATTTTTAATACAAAAATTGATCCACAAGTTTATATTTTGTTAAAACAACTTCACATTTATATCTACTAACCATTTATTTCATATGTAAATAAAATTTATAATCATATCATTACCTTTTAAAATTTATTATTCTCACCAACATATAGTCACTTTAACTCACACCAACCGATTGTTAAAGTGATGAAATATTTATGGTCTATGAGCATGAAAATATAGTTGCGGATGATATTGACCAACAAATGGCTCAAAGTAACAATGTTGGTTCGTCTTCTTGGTCACATGATCGAGAAATGCAAGTTCAACATGAGAAAACTGTCTGTATTATGTGGGAGGATTATATTAAAAACTAGTACACTACAATTTATGTTCAATTTTAAAAAAAATTAAACTAAAGTTAGATGAAACAATTACTTAAGTGGAGAACAAATAGTTTTGCAATAATTTATTATACGATTTTATAATTTTTTGTTTATTTGATAAGAATGAATAAATAATTGGGGATATTTTAATAGTTTTACAACTTATGAGATTTTTATGTTTATGAGAAAATATACAACACAAAAATTTCATATCGCATGACAAAACAAAACTTTAATTTCATCTAATGATTTCATATCATGATACTATATTATGATACCATATCGCATGGCCAAACGGGCCCTTAAAGTGCAAGGTCTGGGGGTTCAAAACCTTGCCAACATTATTTTTTAATTTTTGTTTTAATTTCAGTGACGAGTATTTTGGGTATTTAGTAGCTTTTGTTCCTTAAAACTTTTGTATGTCATGCTTTATAATTGTACCTTTCTTCTTTAGACAAAAAAACCAGCCAACATCTCCATAATGACACATATATCCATCAAAAAGTTGTACTCTTTAATTAATTTAAGTGGAGCCCACCAACTTTATCATGTCGGCTGACCAATACTATTGTGTATTTCTTTATTTTAATTATCATGTCTCACTATTTTTCGTTGATTACATATTTTAAAAATAAAAATAAAGTAGTACTACATATTAAAATAATTAACAATTTAGTATACTTAAAAATAGTAAAAACTACATAAAAGGAACTCATATCACAATAATTAACAATTATTTGACACTTTAAATTCTATCAATACCATATAAATTAGGCTAAAAAGAGTAACATATAATATTTAAATATATTTAAAAATAATATAAGTAATACTATACATTACAATAATTAACAACTTAAGTATTTAAAACTTATATAAAAAAATTAATTGACTCTCTAAATTATATTGGTACCACATAAAATGGTTTTGATGATAAGCATATATTGTTTGAAATTGACGAAAAAGAAACTATAAATTACAATAATTAACAAAAAAAATCGCTCGACTCCAAAAAATCTATCAATTAATGCCACATAAATTGAGACATGGGAAATAACATATATTATTTAAAAATTAAGTTCAAAATGTACTATAATAATACAATTATTAACAACTTAATATATTAAAAAGACATATAAAAAATGGTTAATTTTTGAAATCCTACATGTGCCACATAAATCGGAACAAAGTGAGAAATAAGTATTATTTTCAAAATTATGTAAAAAAAAATAATACTATAAATCACAATAGCTAACAATTTAAAATATTTTTAAAATCATAGAAAATTTCAATAACTTCTCAAATTCCATAATATGACATAAATTAAAATAAAAAAATAATATATATTGGACCGTGCTGGCACGGGGTCCTGTATCTAGTATAAAGTATAAGAGATGTTCTTTGTAAAATTACAAAATGGTATATATATAAAAAAAATTAATTAAATAAATATACTAATTTATTGATCCATGACCCACCCATGTGATCCCCACCTAATTTATTCAAGTTAATCTAAAATAATTAGAGATCCACTTGCATTCAATAATGATGGAATTGACTTTATCTGATAAAAAATCGTGATGTTCTAACCAATAAGCTTCAAATGAAACAACTGAAGAATTATAACTTGTCTGTATAATAATCTGAGAGTTTAGATTATTAAACTTGATTATAATTCGAATTCCTAGTTGATTCTTTTATAAAATAATAATGACTTGTAACACTTACATCAAAATAATATTTTTTAAAAATAAAACACATCAACGAAGAATTGTCTACTTTTAGGCTTTTAGCCATTTCGTTAGTCTACTAAGCTCCAAACTACAACTAATTATATCACTTACACCTAATTAATGTGATTCAACACTGACCTATCACTAAATAACTTTGACCTATCACTAATTAACTTCGAACATAAATACTCTACTAGTGTCACGTGACATAAAAAGGGACCAATTTAACGTGGTACTTATTAATTAAGACACTTAAACATGTACTTATGATGACTTCTTTAGTGTTTCCTGCACTATTTTAATGTTTAATATTTTCGTGTCTTTCGTGTTTCTTAAGCAAAGAAAGATATACGTAAATTCTTTTTTTAAGATCCTTAGTCATTCGCAAAATTATATTGAATATATTATCATTATTGTGTTTTTGTTGTATAATCACTACTTTTGTTTATTCACAAAATAATCATACAAACAAATAATTTTTTTCTCTATATTGAATGAAATTTAATTCTAATCTCTTACTATTAATTAATCCTAGGTGTAAAACAAGATAAATTTAATTCCCAGTTAACAACATAAACGAAGTGCATTGAACACACACACCAAAAAAAAAGGAAGATAAAATTAAATATAAAAAAGCATAGAAATGACAACTGGACATTGAAAAAAAAAATTAAAAAAATATGTTCACTTTAAATAGAAACACGCAAGTAAACAAAATGACGCTATTGGCATACCAATAAAATAATTATGCATTTTATTTCGAAATTATTATGAATAGTAGAAAACGATAAATAATACTAACAAGAATTGTAGGAAGTAGTAAATATTCTTTTAGTA